AACCCTTTGACCAACTGGTCAAATTGGTCAAACTGGTCTGGTCAAGCTTGACCATTGACCAGTCCATGCCAACCCTGTATATACCGTATACACTGGGTACTATTCACGAATCCAGCGATTTCATTGGTGGAAGAGGGGTAATTTATACATTGCTGTACAGTAAACTTTACTATTGTCTGTTACGCATTCAGTAACGATAACTATATAACTTATTATTCTATTATTCCGAAATTACATCATAACCGAATCGGCCGAAAAATCATTCGGTCAATTTTTATCAGGTGACCCAGGATTTATGATACTGTGATTGAAGGACTATATTGTTGAGTAAAAGGGTCACCAGATTTTCGTCTGTTAACAAATTCTTGATTTTAATTGGTTGTTCATAATGACTATTTAGGCAACTAGACTGGCTTAGTCGAGACAATTTCGGCAATGTAAATCATTGATTCGTCGAACTTACAATATTCTATATATATAACGATAACGATAATGGTTTTCATTAATTTAATCTAGTATAAGATTGTAACACATTACCGCTGATTTGTTTGTATCCCAAAATTTAGAGTATTATCCATTTGACACGTTAACATCATTATGGTGGGTATCGGTATATATATCGATATTGTATATGAAAGTAATATGTATTAAAAATTCTTGAAAGAATCCGGTTAGATGTGAGTTCTTATTTCTGTTATATCGATACTTTTGTGATGTACGTAAATGTTAATTGACTGCCTAAAAGGGAATCACTAAAAACGCACTTATTTAGTTAAAGCTGGTAATATAAGTAAAATTACCTTTCCGATATTTTTATTAGTGCTCGAAAGTAGATTTAAACGTCTATTTTTTCATATTATTCATACTTGTACTATTTTTATCATTTTTCTTTAAGAAATTCGCTTGATGCATGTCGATCGCTATATGAAATTGCCCCACTACGTATAGTGGACCCCCCCAAAAAAAAGATTATAATTTAAGGATCATCAACCTTATCATCAACTCTGTTATTGAATATAACGATACGTAGTTTTAACGGGAATTACCAAGAAAGTCAAACCTTTGGTGGAAATTAAGATTATAACTCTGGTTAAGAAGATTAAGAACATATCTCCAGCCTAGAGATTATTACCGGTTTAAGCAGTAACTTGCTAAGGCTTATGTCGTGACAAGTTGTGCGTAAGTCGTAGCAGTTTCTACGTACCATATTTCTACATTCTGGTCAAGATTATAATGTATCTCAGGTCAATATTTAAGTTTTATAGTTTTATTAATTTTTGTAAAAATTAAATGAAATCTTTAATGTTAATCATGATTTGATTGGTCAATTACTCGTTACAATATTCCACTTTAAATTGGTTCCCGACAGTAATCTTTTCCTGAAGTTTGATTGATCGACGTCACATGAGTTAACAAGATCGACAGCATTCAGCCTTGATTTGCTAATCAATAATTAATTATTATTTACTGCACAAACAATATATTATAACTAAAATAAAAAAGCTAGCTTTTCTTCCAGAAAACCGAACAAGTAAACGATAATCTTCAAAGCCGACACCCTCCTGTTTGATTACTTATATGAAACTCGATTAATAATAATTTATATAAATCGTTAGTATGTTAAGATCGTCTAACTTTGCTGTAACAATCTCATTGAACTGTTAAGAGGATGCTGGTCTTACGCACGGTTTCAAAATTGTTTCCGGGGCTTGGCTTGACAGTTCTTATTTATACCTATCTGCCATATATGCGTGTACATGCGTACGTACATATTAGTATCACTAGTATTACTAGTATATTCTTTTAAGTTATACAAACCTTGTTATAGGCCAATCGATTCTTTGTGTTCCAAAATATATTGTTGCTTTAAAGGGAAAATCGATTCCCTTTTAAATTTTGTTGCTATAATTAGAGTTATTTGTAAATATATATCGACATACATTTGTGGACATTAATATTATTTATATATGTTACTTACACACTATCGTCCGCATACATACTCTTTATTCTTTATCTTTCATTCCTTTATATATTCAATCATTCATAAATTTTTTTCTCCTACAAAAAAAAAGCATATGATAGCAATTCGATAGCAAAAAAAAAAAGAAAGAAAAGAAAAAATGGAGAGAAAGGATGGTTTATCGAGTGATGTACCACTGGTTGAATTTATAAATCCAAATGAAACAAATATAACTCAAAGCATTCCAAGTCAATCCCGAAGTCATAATTCAGGAAATATTTCTTCCTCAATATCACCCTCAATAACGTTAAACAATGATGATGACATTTTCTCTCATGATCACGGTGACCAGCAAGAGAATACTATGCCTTCATTTCTTAGTAGAAGAGTAACAACTGGATCTGATGATAATGAAGAGAATTATGTCGAAATGACAAATATTTCCAAACGTTTAAGCTTAACCAGTGAGTTTGCATTCGACAACATTGATGATAGTGATACGGCCAAACTAACTAAAAATCTGGTGGATTACTCGTCAGAAAAGAAATATAAGCAAATATCTTTTGACCATGATGAAGATAACTCTCACGACCCCAATCTACTCGATCGTATACCTTCATTCAACCAATTCAGAAGGTTAAGTAGGATGGTTACTAGAGCTTCTTCTCGTGTTGTTAACTTGGCAAATGTTCCACTTGATCAACTTTCAAAAGAAGGTGACCTATCAGAAGAAAAGATCCTCTCTATTACTCGGGAAAGAAATTCTAATTTATCAGAAAGAGGTAGATCATTAGAAAATCCTCCAAAAGTTGTAAAAAATAAATCAATATTGGAAGGTCGATCCCTATATATATTTGGCCCAGATAATCCTGTGAGATTGGTCTTTTACGAAATTTTGAGTAATCCGTAAGTTTTCAATTTATTCGTTATAAAATAAAAATAATTCTTTTTTTTTATCTTACTATATTTAAAAATATATTAGAGCGACGGAAACTTTTATACTATTTTTAATTGTGGCCAATATCATACTATTGGTTATTGATGCGTGGGATACAGTCAGCCCTGATAACCCTCGAAGAACCACATGGGGAAGCTCTTTCGTTGACTATGGATTATTGGTCATATTCATTTTATACACGTATGTTTGTAATATGTTTGTAATTTTTTTATTTCTTTAATTTTTATTAATATATAATAATAATTTTAAATTCTAAAATATTATTGTAAAAAGGTTAGAGATTATTGCTCGAATAGTCGTATCTGGTTTTATCATCAACCCTGATAATAATGGTGAGTCGTTTGAGACGACTCCTCAGGCAAAAACAAAACCATCCTCAATTACATCAACGAATAATCAAAAAGGGCAATTCCTACCCGGTACTAAACGATCTATTTTTAAAGCTGCATTCCTTCGACACAGTTTTAACAGAATAGATTTGGTAGCGATTATATGTTATTGGATTGATTTAGTGTTAACGTTTTATGGAGTATCACATGTTTATGTATTTAAAGCCTTATCTACTTTAAGGAGTCTTAGATTATTAACTGTTACAAGTGGTGGCTCTACTATTCTACAATCTTTAAAAACAAGCGCTCCTTTATTAGCTAATGTGATGACTTTTATTAGTTTCTTTTTTGTCATCATTAGTATTATTGGTATTCAAGCTTTCAAGGGCTCATTTAGGAGACAATGTGTATGGGTAGATCCAAGTGGAAATTCCAATTTTACACTTACACAACAATGGTGCGGTGGATACATTGGACAAGATGGCAATCATTATCCATATATACCAACAGAGGTTATCCCATTACAAAAACCAATCCCTAAAGGTTACCTTTGTCCTGTTGGACAAGTTTGTCAGGTATTGTACACATATTACACATATTACGCATATTACACATATTACGCATATTACACATATTACACATATTACACGTATTTAAAACATCTTTATCAAATATTCAATTATATTAATTATATTTAAAATATGATCTTTGTATTATTCTTAAAAAAAAAAAAAAAAGGAAACCGCGAATCCATACAACAATATGGTGTCTTATGATAATATTTTTTCTGCAATGATCCTAACTTTTGTGCTCGCTGCAAGTAGGTAATATTTCGATTTTGGTTTTAAAAATTATTATTCATGATCATTTATTTATTTATACCTTTTAATTTATATTAAAATTTTATATAGCTCAAAATTGGACCGATCTTTTATACAGAACAATGGATACTGATTATGGATGGTCTACTTTATACTTTGTATTATCTCTCCTTATTTTAAATTTCTGGCTGATTAACTTGTTTGTTGCCGTGATCGTTGCTGTATTTGAAAAAATTCGTGAAGAAACTTCTCATTCTGCGTTTACTACTTCCAAGTAAATTATTATTATTTGTTATTATTGTTTTATTATTGTTTTCATTTCAATTTTTAATTTCAGGTAATTGACCTTTGCTTTTAAATTTTTCTTAAATTTTATAGAGCTGCACCAGTATTGTTGGATGATGAAGGAAAATGGACGTTAAAGGATCATAAAAAAGTTGAAACAAATCGACTAGGCATAATAATGAAAAAAATAAAATACTTGTTTGTCTTTTTTATATTCATCGACTTATTTATCATGGGATGTAGAACTTTTGATATTTCTCCTGGCACAGCAATGTTTATAGGTATAATATCAGAATATCAGAAGAAATAGAAAAGAGATAGTGCGAAAATTTATTTTATACTTATGAGATCATCTTTATTAAAATTAGATCGAGCCGAACTAGTTTTCACATTAATTCTTGCGGCAGAGATTATTTTGAGATTTTTTTCTTATGCTCCAAAATATCGGTTTTTTTTTCGTTCACGAGCGAATACTTTTGACCTATTTCTTGTCTTAGTTACATGTTTTATACAAATTCCACCTATCAAGTCTTCCAATGCGTATCCTTATTTAACAATATTTCAAATAGTTCGAGTATATCGTATTGTTGTCGCGATTCCTCGTCTAAAGAATGTGTTGGTAATATTCATTTTCCACAAATTCTTATTTATCATGATTTTTAAAGATATTTCATTTATTTATT